TCTAAAAGGTGCCGACTAACTTTGTTGTTTGTCCTTCACTTCTTTTGCACTTATGTATTGCGAGGCTTCTTTATTAATCTAAAAATGTAGCGGTGTGGAAGACTCATATCTAAGACCAGGCCTTAAAGTTTTGCGAGAAGTTTTCTTTTCTCTCCATACCTTTCTAATCCTTACAGAAACTTGTTTACCTTTAAGTTGAGTTGTATCACCATCCTTTGCTAACTCATTGATGTCCTCATAACTATAACCAACCCTGGCTAAAGGCTTATAAGCATTGGGATCAAAGCTATTCACCCATTTATCAAGGAGTCCTCTAAGATTTATCACCACCGACTTAGTTTGATGAATAAACCCTTTTAATAAAGGTTTTGAGACCTTGTTCAAGGTGAGATTAGTAGCTGGCAAGGTCAAGTTTTCAAGCCCCTTGTTGATCTTCTCTTCATCCTTGGCAAAAAAAGATTGACCCTCTTTTCTTATTGATACTAGGATACATCAAAGTACTATGGCTTTACGTGGTAGCTTATTGTCAACAAAGTTTTCTACCACCTTTTCTTTTCCTTTATTCCTTTCTAATCATTGATGTCCTCATACCTTTAACCAACCTTTCTAATCCTTATAGAAACTTGTTTACCTTTAAGTTAAGTTGTATCACCATCCTTTGCTAACTCATTGATGTCCTCATAACTATAACCAACCCTGGCTAAAGGCTTATAAGCATTGGGATCAAAGCTATTCACCCATTTATCAAGGAGTCCTCTAAGATTTATCACCACTGACTTAGTTTGATGAATAAACCATTTTAATAAAGGTTTTGAGACCTTGTTCAAGGTGAGATTAGTAGCTGGCAAGGTCAAGTTTTCAAGCCCCTTGTTGATCTTCTCTTCATCCTTGGCAAAAAAAGATTGACCCTCTTTTCTTGTTGATACTAGGATACATCAAAGTACTATGGCTTTACGTGGCAGCTTATTATCAACAAAGTTTTCTACCACCTTTTCTTTTCCTTTATTCCTCGTTGGCTTAGACACCCCTTCATTTGTAGATGACTTATGCCCCTTTGAGGTTTTGAAGCCAATTCTTCCCTTTCCTAGATGGTCAGGTGGGGATCGTAGTTCTTCCATCACATTTGACTTGAAATAGAATTTTACGTCTGTAAAATGAGCTTCAACTATGGTGAAAGGATCAATGTCCACCACTATCTTTCGTACTTGTCCATCTCGACAATACTTAAGACAATGGTGGAGTGTTGAGGAGATGATACCATTTTCATGCATCTATGGTCGCCTAAGCAACATATTGTAGGTAGTTTTAGCATCTATGACATGGAAAAGTGCATTAGATTCCATATATTGTAGGTAGTTTTGCCCTCCTTGATTAAAACCTTGAATCTTCAGATGACTTGGGAAGAGTTCATCCATAAGAATCCCTAGCTCTCTCATAGTCTTAAGAGGTAGTATATTAACTGCCGAGCCATCATCCACTAAAATATGATTCACTATCTTTTCATCAATACATCCTTTAATGAAAAGAGGCTGGTTATAGAGTTTTGATCCAAGCAACAAGTCTTCATTCTTGAAGGATATCTCTGTTGTGCATACACTGTGAGATAAATTTGAAGAGTCATCATGACTTTTCTTTATAACGGATTCAATAGGAGTTTTCTCTTCATCAACATGATAGCAAACAACATGTACATTTTCAACTCTTCTTATCTCTGTTGGCATGTACTCATTTAGTGTAATAGGCTTTCTTAGACTTTAAGTTGAAAAACTCTCCTTTCTAACTAGTGTGGATTTTTGTTTAGTCTTTTGATGTATCAGCTCATTAATTAGCTTCCTCACCATTGAGATTCTCATTCTAGTTGGCTTTGTCATCTGCATGCGCTTCTTCCTTCCTCTTTTACGTGTGACTAAAGTCCATCCTTCATCATCATAATTTTTAGATGAATCAAGCTTCAAGGTGTCAACTTGAGGTGCGAGGGTTATGCATGGAGTTAGACTTAAGGATGTAGCGAAGCTTATCGGGAAAATGACATCAAGTCTTATAGATTCAAAGGAGCTAAAACTTGTTCTAAGGAGTGATTGATGTGGTCCTAAACTGATCGTGGTTGTGATATTAGAAGCTGCTATTTCATTATAAAAAATGATATCTCCATTCTCGTGTAGCCTTATGATCTTGTCTTTCAACACAAAACACTTCTCTACAGGATGACTGATTAAGCGATGATATTTGCAATAATTCAGATTATCTACTTGGTTTGCTTTTTTAGGGCGTTTCACCTTCGGCAACTCAATGATATTTTCCTCAAGCAAATCATCCAGCATCCTAGATATGTTTGAGTCGGGGGAATGGATACACTTTTTCTTGTTGCTCTTTGAAGGATGGTTTCTTTCTTTCATCCTATTGAAAAGTAGTTGGCGTTGCATGATCATTCCTCTTAACTCTAGTTGGTACTCTTACAGCAGCCAAGTTAACTACTAAAGATTGCTTTCCATCGACCTTTAGAGTGCTCTTTCCGAATCTATGACCTTCAGGTTTATTTCTTTTAGGCTTTTGCATAGGTAACGATGAACTTTCAGCCATCGCAATACTAAGTTCCATATCATGTGCATGAGTAGCCAGTTCTTCAAAAGACTTTGGTTTGATACCTTGTAGAATATAGCGTAGTCCCCAATGCATCCCTTGAATACACATGTCTAGCTCAGAAGTTTCGGTGAGCTTATCTCTATAATTGAGGCTAAGGTTTCTCCATTGATGAATGCAGTCGATGACAGGCTCTTCCTTCCAATGACGTGCATTAGTGAGTTCAATCATGCTAAACACATGACGAGTGCTGTAAAAGTAGTTAAGAAACTTGCGCTCCAACTGCTCCTAAGTATCAATCGAGCCAGACTCCAAGTTGTGTACTAGTCGAAGGCATTACCTTTCAAGGAACGAACAAACTATTTTACCATGAGATCACCATTAGTCCCAACATTGTTACAAGTTTACACAAAGTGAGCTACGTGTTGTTGAGGATTTCCCTTACCATTAAATTGTTGAAACTTTGGTGGTTGGTAACTTAGAGGCATCTTTAACAGGCTGATTCTTTAGGTGTACAGCTTCGTATATGAATACGAGGGTTGAATTGAGCTTTCTACCTGATCTATGATCGCTTCCTTGATGAGTTCTTTCAGTTGATTTATGGTGAAGATGCCATTAGTAATACCGCGTATATTCTTCATAGCTTCGATTGTAGACTCCTCAATGACATCTAGTTCATCTACTTGAAAAGCCTTGGTAGTCAAGGTTTGGCCTCCTTCATTCAAGCTCTCAAGTTTGTTCATCATTTTGCTATCTCATGGTCTTTTGCCTTGAGTGAAGTCAAAAGCCCCTTAACGAGTTTTGTCAAGTTAGCCACTTAATCCTTTAAAGATGTTGTCCTGATCGTCATCAGTGACATGGTGCCGAAACCCAAAGCCTTACTTGGTGATTGACATGGAGAAGTTTTTATAGATGAATTGTCGAAGTCGCCTTAAGTGCCAAAGAGAATTTTGCGAGCCCCATTTGACTTTTGTAATGGAGTTGCTTGTGGCTTCATCTTTGAGGCGAGATCTTGTGCCCCTCTTACATTCGATGTTGATGTCATCTTGAGAGTCAACTTAGTTTGTGCATACAACTCGACGATGGATTTTGTTTTCAATGGTGGAGTTGAAGAATCTTCAATGGTATGTCGGCTACTTGAATCAGTGACCTTGTTGCCTTTTGAAGCGATAATGGTGATCATGTTCCTCCTAGTTGCCATTGAGAGTTTGTTGAAAAGTCTTTCTTGAAGGGAAGAGATGAGAGGTAGAGATGTCCCTAATGGAGTCGCTAGAAATTTGTAGACACAATTTTGTGCACCTGAAATTAAACAAGCACACGTGTACAAATATATGATTTTATTAAATATATGAATGAGTACAATCTCTATGTAATATATTCTTTCAAAAGAATATGGCAATCCTCTGATTCTTTCCATGGATTTGATGTATAATACTTGATTTATTTAAGAAATCAAGACTAGATTTGTGTTTTGCAAGAACGTGAATTTGGGCATATACTGCAAAGCGAGATGTTGTGTTTTGATACTTTGAAGAGTACCTTGATTTATCTTTGAAGTGTTATTGAAGAACTCTTATGAGGCGTTTTGGCTTGATTCAATAGAGCTTCATTCTTTATAACTTCAAGCGTAGATGAAGGAGGCTTGAGAACTCTTTGAGAAAGAGCTTCCTTGCTTGAGACGAGAGAGAGAGAACTTCCTTGCTTTGTCTGGAAGAAAATTTGTATCTTCCAGAATCTCAATCCTTTAGGTTGAAGTCCTCTATTTATAGAGATCTGTAGGGGCTTTCAAGTTCTTCTACAATGTCATATGATATAATTTTATTAGTTGATATTTATTGATGAGATCTTGCATTTATAAAAAGATATATGATGGGATCTTGTATTTATAACAAGACTTCCTTGCTTGAGACGAGAGAGAGAGAACTTCCTTGCTTTGTCTGGAAGAAAATTTGTATCTTCCAGAATCTCAATCCTTTAGGTTGAAGTCCTCTATTTATAGAGATCTGTAGGGGCTTTCAAGTTCTTCTACAATGTCATATGATATAATTTTATTAGTTGATATTTATTGATGAGATCTTGCATTTATAAAAAGATATATGATGGGATCTTGTATTTATAACAAGATATCTTGAATATCTCATTCCGAGTGTCAACTTTTCATTGGTCAAAAAAATATATGAAGGTTTATTTATTTTTCATGTCATTTATTTTGATTTTATTGTATCCTTTCTTTTAAAAAATAAAATAATATATGGTAAAATTTAATTGGTAGAAATTTTTTTGTTTCTACCACGTTGTTCAAGATAAAAGGAAAAAAGGAAACCACGTCAAATAAAAAAGAAGGCACTGAACAAGGAAGACGAATGAAACATCGACGGTTCACACATAAAGTTATGAGCAAAGAATTAGGATGGATTTGGTTCAAAGCATAAAATTGTCCTCCGACAATTTTCAGGGTTGGGGGAAGAAGAGGCGGCTGGAAACAAAAATGATATGACAATTTTCAGGGTGGGGGAAAGAAAAGGAGGAGGCAGAAAACAAAAATAATCAGTAATTTTCTTGCCTAACATTCATTAATTGCTCAACTTTTTTATTAAAGCATGTCATACACATAGCAATATGCTGCAATAAAATGCAAAACAGTTTGATAACAATGCGACAAACAAAAAAAAGGCAAGATGTTCAGAAATTCAATGCTCGGCAGCATTATTATATATATGAAAAAAGCATCAAATACTTTCTCTCAGAAGAAAAGCTAGAAAGTGACGTCTTACCTCCTAAACAGGAAAATCTTTAAAATCTACGTACCATCTCAATCATAAAATATAAAATAGCCCTGCATCACAGTCCTAGTTCCTTAACAAGTCAAGAATGAAACACTTCACATACATTAAAGAATTAGCATCGTGGAGGTGATCATGAGATTTTTCCAGTAAGGCAATATACATAGCAATATGCAGCAATAAAATGTAAAAGAGTTGATAACAATGTGAGAAGAAAACTAAAAGGTAAGATGTTTAGAAATTCAATGCTCGGCTGCATTATTACCTGCTGGATCCATGGGGGCAGTGGGCATGGCATTTTGAGACCTGATCTCCATCGAAAGCATCTCCAGAGATATTTTACGCAGATAATCAAACTGAAATCAGATATTACTAACAAAACATTAGATTTCAGAGCAATCCATGTTACAAAAGGAGGAAAATGAATATATGCTCTATCATTTCATCTTCTACGAGGATATACTTCTGTTTCCTCTCTATTTATTAAATTATTCATGTATTGATTCGCTATTTGCTTTTTGCACTTTTCCCTTGCACTTGAACTTGGTCAGTCTAAATAAAACACTTCTCAAGAGAATTAACAAAAAGATGCGAACTCCCAATCAGCCTTGCATACAGAATGAACGGTGAGGAAGTGGAGGCACACTACACACACATGTGTACATGCATAAATGCGTGTGTATATTCATGTCTAGCGAATATCGTAATTATCAAACCTCGCATTAGGCAAATATTTCATTGGTGGCGGTAGTATAAATCTTTTCCTCAAGCCGTATGGCAATTTTCTTGAGTTCTTGTGTAAATCTACTTCTATGAACAAACCTAATAATAAGGGTTATTTGCTCTCTTTTGAATTCATCTCAAGCTTCATCAACAATTAAGTAAAATCTTGCATCACTAATCTCATGATCAATTAAAAACTGAACATTTCTAGCAAACACGTGCAAAATTTCCTTTTGAATTTGATGTGAGGTGTATTTAGCATTTTGTGGAGCATTATCCAGAACAAGAGCACCTACTTGTTCATTATATGATGCTAAAAGTTTCAATATTTCAAGAAAATTACCTTGATTTTTTTTTATTCTGGACATTTACCATGTCCTCTAAAAGCACATGCTTGAAATGTGAGCCAACAAACAATATCTGTTGAAACTTTAATACGTAATTGATTATTTAGAATTTCTTGAGTAGTTTACCTCTTAACTACCTTCTCAATATGACATGACTGATTTTTCAAATTTTCCAAGTACCTGGTAGCAAATCTATGAGTTGAATTTGGAGCTTTTCCCATATGAGTTAAAAAAGCACATTGTTCCCCATCATTAACTTTCTTCCAACAATTGAATCATTTAACAGTAAATGTATCTGATTCTGGCTTTCCAAATGACTTACTTGAAAATAGATAGCAAGGGAAACAAAATGCAGTATTTTTCTCCGAATATTCAAGCCATGGATAACTTTTGAACCAATGAGATTGAAATCGACAAGGATGTTTTTTTACCAGTCAGCGGATATTCAAATATCAAAGGTTGATATGGCCCCAAATTAATGCATGCCCTTCTAATTTCATCTATTGATTAACCGGGTATTCTCAAATTTGAGGACGATTATTTGGATCTCTAATAAGATAAGCAATGTCGATTGTAGTAGGAGGCTTCTCCTTTATCAAAGCAGGTTCTTCATAAACTGAAGCACATTGGGGTTGTTCAACCATAACTTCAACATTACACATTGGAGTTGATTCACTAGGCTATGAGTTATCAATATTTTTCCTCTTTTTCTCAAAAAAGAAATCAATTCTTCTTATTTTATTCATAGTTCAACCTAAAATCAAAACATCATAAATTTTTATTGTTTTATATTTAAGAAATAAATACAAATAACAATGTGTTGACACAATAATCAGAATCAAAAATATATTTTTACATGTAAACCACACTAACATATGAAAGCAAAATTAACATATTAAAAAAAATTTGATATATAAAAGCATATCTAATAGAAAAAAATAGGATTACTGGTTCCTAAAAAAGAAAACTTACACTAAATCAAAGTTGGCTATATGCTCTTCAAAGAATTCAATTTGGCTAGAAAGACCGTGTCTAATTGCATATTGGATCTGGTGATAGTAAGGTACATGTGAGAAATAATTGATAATTTTAGTGGTTCTGCTAAAAACAAAACATAAAAAATCCAAGTATAATTGAAACAAACAAACCCATAAAATATATCAAATTAATGAGGAAAAAACAACATTCACTATAACAAGAAATAAAAAATGATAAAACTAGTAGACCTAAAAAAAAGTAGAATTATATATATGTATTTATTAAATTCTTAACAAGCATAAAAAATTAAATAATTAATTACCTTGTTGTTTGCAGTAGCTTTGCTTTAACTTTATACTTTATATTGTTAATTTTTTGGCTATGTTTGTAGAGAAAAGAGAGAGAAAGAGAGTAAAGGATAGAAATTAATTGAAAAACTTTTGTTTTCAACTTGCACAGAGATATATAGATATTTAGTATATTAAAGTTAAACATAACTAATAAAATAATAATTTAGTATTAAAAAGCTTATTATTTATTATATTTAAAAAAATTTGTAAGGGCCTGGCCCTTGCTAGCCTCCCTTTGGTTCCACCGGTGCCTCCTGACCAGAAAACAGAAGATGCCTCTTTAATGTCTCCATTCTGCATACAGAAATCATTACGTTTCATTTTAAATGACCAGGTAAATATAGAGAAACTAGTAGCAGCGAACAAGAACCCTGAACTCATAAACCACACCAATATTAGAAATATGTGGAATCATTAGCAAAAAGTAAAAACAAATAATAACATAAACAAGTGTTGGTCAAATAATATATGGCATCAAAATACATAGACATATATTTTTACTTCCTCTAAAGGTACAAAGTATAGGAGTTTACTTGGCCACCCTTCTATCTAAAAATTCTAGCTACGAGCTTCATGGTTAAATTTTTTAAATTGAAATAACCTTTCATTTATGGCTATGTTCCAAGATATACAAGTGACTTAGTTGCAAACCTGGGCAGTCTCTATGAAAGCATTGCAATAGCATCTTGCTCACTTCTATGCATGTGCTGTAATTGACTAAGAAAAGAAGAGAAATCCTTTCAATTTATGAAAATGCAATGAGATAACCTTATCTCACACTACAATATATATACTCTACAGTGCTCATTGGCTTGTGCAAGTGCCACCAGTAGCTGTGTATATGATTTTGGATGTAGAGATATCACCAAAACATTCAACTTTAGGCTGAGAAACTAGGAAACCATACACCATTGTGGCTAATTGAGTTTTGTCTGCTGCTTTTCTACTTTAAGATTACTATCATTTCAACCCTGTAGAAGTTAAAATAAATAACCATCTAGAAAGTGACCAAGTGGTAAGGACATGGGATTAAGAGATTTGCTCCCTTTGTGGTCTTAGGTTCGAGTCTTTGGTTGCTCATATAATGGCTACTGGAGGCTTATATGACCATTAACTTCAGGGTCTGTGGAATTAGTCGTGGTGCGCGCAAGCTGACCAGACAACCCACGTTAATCTAAAAAAAATAAAAGGCCCCAAATCCAACACTATTCATTTAATTAGTTCAGTTACAACTCGTAACACCTCATACAACCATCCAAGAGGTCATCATCGAAAGAAGAGATTACAAAAGAAGTTCCGACAAAAATTACTTCTCAGAACTTTATGTTCCCTCAAGTTTGCTTCTTGTGAGAAACACAAGAAAAGATGTACAAAAAAATATAAAAAAAGAGGTGTGTCATACTTGAGGTTGCCTCATGGCAGTCCAGCTGATTTTAATTAACGTTTTCCCCTTCTCCTTTTCTTTCATATAAATTAAAAATTTTACTATTTTGCAGCACTTGCACATATTAGGAAACAAATGCATACAATTTGTCGACTATTCTTTTCCGTGAGTCAGGCTGCAATTGAATTCTCCAATCACCCGTGCCCATGTCAGGTTCTCTGCCTGGGACAGTGGGCCAACCAAAAAGAAAAAAAAATCATATTGCATGTTAGAATAGACCCTAAAAAGAAAGTCAGGAACAGCTAGAAGAGTAAAAGCACATCAAGAACATGAAAAATGGAATATCAGTTTATTCAGACTTGAATAGATTTTAAAAAAAACTTCCGTCTAATATCATGTACTTTATTAAAGAATTCAGCCAAATATGGATGCATGACAAATATACACAACCATTCAGGACAAGGTGCAAGGATCCTGGGTGTTCGGGCATTCTAAGCAAAGATTTGGGCCTGAATCTTCATGGTGCTTCTAAAACCAAAGAAGCATTCCCTTCTACGCAAATACTTAATGTCAAAACCCCTCCCCTTCACTGCACGAATAAATAGTTTTACCGACAGACTAAGTCCGTTGGTGACAGGAACGGACTTCATCGATGAAATAATTACTGACGATCTTGCCAATAGAACACGTCCGTCGGTATAATAGTCATCGGTAACTCCCACTTCTATCGCTAATTCTATCGCAAAAAAAAAAAAGACCAACCGATGGTCTTACAGACTAATACGCACGCCCAAAAAAAAACGTTTCCCACAGGAGCATTACCGACGGAATAAATCCATCTACAATTTCAATGGTAATTACCAACGGACTATCCGTCGGTAAGTATGGCATCGGTAGTAATTGTTTGCTAACTCTTTATGAAATACTGACAGATAATATTCATTGATGTTTCCGTTGGTATATATTTAAATTATAAAAAAATAATAATTTATTAATAGTAAAAATCCTTAATAAACAAATAAAATTGGATTAAACATTAAAAATATAAAATTAATGTTAAATAATATTCATTACAAATTTAATGTGTTTAAAAAACAAAATTAAACTAGAATAGCAACGGAGCTGGAGGAGGAGGCTGGTTGTTCCCAGGACCATACGATCAAAAAGGAGGTGCACAAGTATCGTCACCCATCTTTGATCTGCAAAGTTGGAGGAGGAAGAAGAGGAGGCTAGTTGTTTTCGGGACCATATGACTAAATAAGGGCTACACATGTATCATCACCTATCCTTGATCTCATCTCCATGACCATTTGACAAAGTTCATCATAATCCCTACGAGCCGAACGCAAGTTTTTAGTCGTAGTGTTGGAGAGCCTGTAGACCCAATTTGTATCGGCTCCAACTCCTTAGACTGAGTGTTCAATACTGATGGAGAGCTTCTAATGGTTGAGACACTACGAGCCGAACGCAAGTTTTTAGTCGTAGTGTTGGGGAGCCTGTAGACCCAATTTGTATCGGCTCCACTGGACAATCCCACCTCCATTCACAAATCTGGATCGAAATCTAGATGGGTCGAAGGATGGTCTCCATATCTCTCCCTCAACCGGCTATTATAGGTCTCTTTAAAAATCATCATATTTAAATCAAGAAAATAATAACTTACAAAATAAAATGAATGAACGAACATACCAAGAAGTGTTGAGCACGGTTGTCCATGAACTGTTGCACCCCCTTTTGGCAGTCTTGACTCCGTATAGATGTCTCTACAAACAACTCCTTTGGACTCGGCTCATGTCCAAAAGATGCAGCCTGTAAAGAAAAAATAGGTTAAAAGTTAAATATATTATAAAGAAAGACAAATTAATTAATGATATATTTTATTAAAATTAATCTTACCATCCGCTTTGCATGTGCGCTAAATGGAACAAATCCACCAGTGTGCGTGGTCACCGAACCATGAATTTGCTGGTTGAGGTTGTCGGTGCCGAACTGTGAGCGCCGTGAGAACTGCTCTGTGGTCACGTGCTCAATATATGTCGTCCATATTTCCCCCAAGACGAATGGTGGTTTGAATTCCTGCCAAACCACCACCTTATTCCATCCTTCAAGATTGTTATCCCTCGCATGTCTTTTTTATTTTTTTTGGTGTCATACCAAAAATCACACAACCTACTTCTATAGTAACAAATTAGAATTTAAAACATAAAATTATAAAACAAAAAATAAATATTATTTTTGATGTTACCTAGTTGCCACGTGATTCTTCCATACCCTCCTCACAACATTGTTGTCTGCCCTATCCCACTCAAAATTGTTCTATATATATAAATAATTCATATAAAATAAAAATAGTACTAGATATGAAATTATAAAAATTATTTATTAAAAATAAGCTGGAAACTAAAAATTAACACCGACCTAAAATCGCTTAAACTATGCATCGATATTAGGTTTCCACTCAATGTTTGTGAACCTGAAATTAAATAATTTGGTACTTGCGGTGAATTGACCTCGCTATAAAGGCACATCGCTTCTGCGCTGTGAAAATGCGCTAGAAGAGGCAGCATCACAAGTTGGCGTAGATTCCTCGCTATAATCAACACCTAAGGATATGTCCTCCTCGCTGCTAGAAGAACTAGTTACAACCATCTTTTGACAACATGCTGTAGATTTTATTCTACACATCTACATAAATTTATATGAATAATTACATAATTAACTTCAATTATTTTAAAAAAAAAATGGCAATCTCCCCTATACAAAGAGGTCCCAAGTTATCGATAAAATCATATTACACTTCTAATTTTATTTCATATCTCGATCCAATCATCTTGGATCTCAACCCAACTCATCATCATCAACACAACATTTTATTCAATAACATCATATAATGATATTCAAGTAAAAGAATCAATTTCAACTATGAACATTCATTGTTAAATTGGTACCTAGAGTTACAAACATTAGATTAAAGTCATACATTTAAATTTATGGATTAATATTACATTTCAAGTTTTAGGAGACAAGACTCTTAATTTATAAATAATTACATGGTCAAAAGCAAAAGGTAACTAAATCAATATCATTCCTAACACGATCAACTCTAATGGACCTCAAAATAGAAATTAATGTGTACACATAAATATAAAAATGTAATAACAAGCAATAACAATGACATGTAAACAATAATATCCTTAAATTAAGATAAACTAATTAAATGTAATTCTATATATATACATTAACATTTTTAACATAAATTTAACAATAACAATTATAACAATACACACAATAATATCCTAAATTAAGATAAACTAATTAAATGTAATTCTATATATATACATTAACATTTAAAGCATAAATTCAACAATAACAATTATAACAATACACACAATAATATCCTAAATTAAGATAAACTAATTAAATGTAATTCTATATATATACATTAACATTTTTAACATAAATTTAACAATAACAATTATAACAATACACACAATAATATCCTAAATTAAGATAAACTAATTAAATGTAATTCTATATATATAAATTAACATTTTTAACTTAAATTCAACAATAACAATTA